GAGCACTGTGGGTGCCAGAAGCTTCACCCATCCCATGGCCAAACTGGGCGGCTGCCGGGCTGGAAGGGTCCCACTCAGCCTGACAGGGTGCCCGGCTCCCCTCCTGCCCAGGACCTGGTTGCCTGGATCTCTGTGGGGTTCCTGCACGTCCCCCATGCCGAAGATGTCCCCAACACGGTGACCGTGGGGAATGGCGTTGGCTTTTTCCTGAGGCCCTACAACTATTTCAACGAGGACCCCTCGGTGGACTCGCCTGACAGCGTCTACTTCAGCGGTGAGGAGGATGCCGGAGCGTGCGGGGCCAACCCCCTCGCCTGCCTGCCCGCCGCCGCCGCCTGTGCCCCCCACCTGCCCCCGTTTCGCTGTGGGGGTTTCCTCCACCGTGCTGGCGGTCCATGTCCGGCCGTGAGGTGCTTCCTTGGAGGGGCTCCGGCGGTGGCGGCGGGCGCGGGCTGGCTCTGTCGCTGCACCAGGACCTGCCCTCCCCATCCATGGGAAGCTGTGTGCTCAGGGTCAGGTTTTCAGAGGAGCTCAGCTCCCATTTCGGCACTGCAGAGCTACCAAAGGCAGACTCAAAGCCTTTGAAAAACAGCCCCTAGGAGTGATTTTTGGAGATTCCATCCAGGAGGCCACCCAAAGGGCTGTGGGGTGCCCACGGCTGCTCTCCTCCTCTGGGACCGGGGTTCCTGCCGCCTCCCCAAGGTAGGTCAGTGCCCACAGGGTCATGGTGCCGGCCAGGGCTGGGCACTGCACAAAGCCGCAGCTCCTCTTGGAGCCATGGTCTGTGCCAAGGTTTTGCCGAGGGAGGCGGGAGCAGGTGGCCTGGTGGCTGCTGTGGCTTGGCCACAGCATGGGGGTGTTGGGCCACGGGGACCCAGCAGCTCCAGGATGCCCGAAATGTCCACCCTGGCCCCGTGGCTGCTGCAGCTCCAGGGCTGCTGGGGCCCAGGCGATGCTGAGCTCTGGCTGCTGTGGCGGTGCCAAGCCCTGGGGACAGGGAGGGTGCGCTAGGCTGCACCGGGAGCCCGCAGGAGGAGCACACTGCAGGACCGTGGGACGGGCAGTCCCTGGGCTGAACTGGCCCGTGTCCACTCTTCCCCAATAAACAGGCACTCGGGTGCTTTTTCTGACCAAACCGTTGTGTAGCTCATGGGTGCTGCTGCGGCTCCTGGAGCTGGTGGCCAGAGCCCCAGCACTGCTGATGCCCTGGTGCTGGTGCCCTGTAACGGATGCTCCTGGCTCAGCTCTGGGGTGCTCGCGGGGGTCCAAGGACCGCGCGGCCAGTACGGCACCCGGCACGGCTGCGGGAGCGTGCACCGGCCGTGCTCTTGGACCCCGGGGAATATGGGACAAACAAGGGAGTTAATGTGTAACGGCTGTACCAAGCCACATTAATCGTTTCTGGCCTTGGCTGCTGCCCAGCGTGCTCAGCCCCCACCGGCATGGGGACCCTTGCTCCCGCGCGCCCGGCTGCATGCGCACTCCCAGACTTTGGGACCCCGCAGCCTCTGGAGTGCATCCCCCCTGCGCCAGGCTGGGCTGGGGACACTGAGGGGCTTGGTGAGGACAGGTCAGCTCCAGCCCTGGCATGGGGCTGCAGATGCCAAACGCTGGCCAACGTGTCCAGGGGGGGCATGGTGGGCATCCATCCCCTCTGACCCTTCACTGTGGGAGCTGAGTCTGCCCAGGGCAATCCTGTGATGGGCTCAAGAAGCCCTAACGGCAGTGGCCCATCCCCTGGGAGCCAGCTCGGCTTGCTGCAGCGCAGGGAAAGGACTTTAGGCAGGAGCTCGGGGGCATGGCTCAGTGCAAGGCTGCAGTGATGTCCTGGCGTGCCCTGGGGTGACAGCAGGGACCGTGCCCCAGAGGCATCTCCTGGGGCTCAGGGGGAGCAGGCGGGATGCTCCCTGCAAGGGGAAGGTCGCAGCTGGCCGGCTCCCTGCCTGCCGCTGTGTGCCCGCGTGTTTGTGAGCGCTGCCTGGACTCTGCCCACGTGCTGACGCAGGCGAGACCAGACGTGCTCCCGTGCTGGCAGCGACCTGGCTCCCTGCCCAGCCCCAGGCCTTGCCGCAGGCTGGGAACTTTCTGGGTGAAACATTGGCACTGCGTGCAGCACATTACGTTACAGCACCTGCATGTGCCGCAGCTCCCGTAGCTGTGTCTGGTGCCTTGGGAATCGCGGGGACACCGTGTCCCGGCGCCAGCCGCTGCCACCACAGGCACACAGCTCCTGGGCTGCCAGCCCATCTCCGGCGCGTTGCGCACAGACCTCAGTGCAGAAATAAAGCGCCCCCAGCCTGGCCCCTTACTGCCCCTGGGAAAGCCACCCCGGACGGTTTGCAGTGCACGTCCCTGGCCAGCGGTGCTGCCAGCACAGCTGCCCGTTGCAGGGGATGAGCCAGAGCCTGGCATGGCACTCCCAGAGCCGGTGGCCAAACCGGCCAGGGTGCAAAACCCTGCAGTGCCCAGGAGGTCAGCAGCCCCGGCCTGCCCTGGCGGCTGCAGGGCCAGGGATTTACCCGAAGCGCAGGACATGGAGCTGGCACTGAGACACCTCCGCCATGCGGACCCTGGCAGCTCCGGCACAGACCTGCCCCGTGGCACGTGGAGCCTGGCCGCTGTGCAGGGCGATGCTGGCCCATGCCGCTCCGCCAGCAGCACAGCTCCATCGGCAGCACAGCTCCGTCAGCAGCACAGCTCCGTCGGCAGCGCTTCGTGCTCGCTCCCGCACCACACTGGCCCCGGCCGTGCTGGGAGGGAGGCGGTGGCTGCTCCCGTCCCGTCTCCCGGCCTCTCCCTGCTGCGGCCCCAGTTTTCCTGCAGTGACTTTTTCTAAGGGGCCTGGAGCACACTAGTCCCCATCCCCCAGCACCTTTTGCCCCCATTTTCTGCTGTGAAATCTCTCAGGGAGAATTTATTGCTGACTGTTTCAAAATATTTTTGATGCAGAAGCCACGTCTGTTGCATTCCTTCACGCTGGCCGAAGCCACTCTCGGTTGAGGACCCTGAAATAAGCTGTTGGGGAATTTGTTTTGCAAGAGTAATTCCATTTCTGTGCAAACTTCTGCTTTGCTGGGGTTTTTTTGTAGGTTGGGCGCTCAATCCGGGGGCTGGGACGCCTGGGTCGGTCTCCCCTGGGTGCAGCGAGGCCGGGCTGGGAGGGACAGGGAGGAGCAGCCCTGGGCAGGGACGCGCCTGCGGCCGGGGCGATCCTGCAGCGTTTGCACGGTTTCCTCTCCTTCACGTGCGTTTCCCGTTCACTGACGGCAGCTGAGAAATTGCTGCTTGGGAGGACCGGCGTGAGCCCCCGGTGCTGCCTCCCTTCCGGCACGGCTCCGGCCGCCCCAGGGCTCCCCTGGCCCCATCCTGGGGATGGAGTCAGATCAGGCCAGCCTGGGCCAAGGATGCTGAGTGCAGGGTCAGGCTTTGGCTATGCCGACGTTTCCCTTTGCCCGGGAGCATCGGCCCTGGTGTGAGGCGAGGATGCTGGGAGGGATCCCGGCTGCCGCCGCCTGACGGGCAGCTCCTCGGGGCTGAGGACAGGCTGCCCGCAGACCACGCACGTTGCTGGTCTGGGACTGCAGATCTGCCCTGGCAGCACCAGCTTTGCACTGTTAAATGCGAGGCAGGTCTCTAATCATCCAACTGCCTTCAGAGCACAGGCGTTTGCAAATACGATCCCTCTTCCTCAGCCTGGCAGATCCAAGAGTGGTCCGTGTGGTATTCCGGGGTGGAAGGTTTGCTGTGTTTTTGCCTTGTAGACCCCAAGGCTCCCTGGGCTACTGCAGGAAGGGGGCAGGATCCTGCCTGCAGCCCCGCTGCGCTGAGCCTGCTGTTTGTGGGCAGGACTCGGCGCTGGACAAGACCTCTGCCTGCTCTGCACCATGGCAAACAGCACAGGGGCAGCGGTTCAAGGATCTTGACCTGAACTTTCTCGTGGAGGCAGATAAGTGATGCATTTTCACTGGCTGCTAATCATTAACGCCTCGTTGCCTGTTCCCCATGCATGGGCAGCTGCCTGTTTTGCGGCGCGGGCTCCGGCTGGGCACCCCGCGCCGCTGCCACAGGGCTGTGTGCCTGTGCGCCAGCAACCGTGACGGCCGGCCAGAGCTGGGGAAGGAGGTTTCTCCCGCCAGGCTGACCCTGTGTCCTCAGGCTCCTGGGAATAGCTCTCCATGTTACTCACTCACTGTTACCTCCCAGGGAGGAACAGGACGATAAAGCTGCGGTGCCGGCACTGCTGCCAGCGATAGCACGGCATGGCCGGGGCAGGGAAAGGCCACGGGCAGAGACCTGGCACCAGTGGGATGAGCGGTGTGTTCGGCTCCGTCCCGGCAGCGGGGTCTGACGGGGCAGTTTTGTGCAGGAGGGGGTTAACCCAGGGGAGCTGTGCTGGGAGGAATGCCTTCCCTCCCAGGGGACCTCATTTGCAAAGGTCCTTTAACCCCACACCAGAGCTCAGAAAAACAGTGCTGGCAGCCAGGGGCTCCCCAGGCCTCGCTGTCTGCGGCTGCGGGGAGCTCCAGAAACGGCTTGGAAACTTTCAAATTGCGCAGAGTCCTGGTTAAATCAGCCTGGCGAACGCCATGGCAGCAAGGTGCTTTTTCATCAGCTGGAGGTTTCAGCGGACGTGGGGGCGGTGGGCAGCCTGCCCCCCATGCCACGCACGACCCAGTCCACGCTCCTGGGCGTCCCTGCGATGCTCTGGTGGTGCTTGGGGTGATGGCGGAGGGATGGGAGAAATGCCACAGCTCAGGGCTGCGGCAGCTCTGCAGTGCTGTTCACTCGGAGCGCGGATGCTCGGCTCTCCTCCCTGACAACAGAGCAAATGCCAGGGTTCAGTAGGAGCAGCTGAACCGTTGTATGGGGCGGCAGGAGGAGCAGGGGCTGCAGGATCCCCCCGAGCGAGGCAGCCGCCTGCGTGCCGCGGGGAGGGCATGGTGCGGGAAAGGGTTAAGGCGCTGGTGTCGGAGCACCCGCGCCACGCGCCCTCGAAGCCTGTTTTTCCCTTTTACGTAAGTTGTTCCAAACATGTTTGTGACAACCTCCTGTGATGCACCTTTGGCAAAAGTTGGTTTTGGGTCCAAAGATCAGTGCTGGGACAAGCGACCTGCCTGTGGCAAACAAGAGCCCGCAGAGTATAAAACCCCAGCGGCGCGGTGGAGCGCGGGACAGCCCGAGCCGCGCCGAGGGGCAGCGGCTGCAGAGGAGGATGGAGGCCAGCATGAACCACCTGCACGACACGGGCATCCAGGCGACGCGCTGGCTGCAGGAGCACTTCCAGGGTTCCCAGGACTGGTTCCTCTTCATCTCCTTCGCTGCCGACCTCAGGAACGCTTTCTTCATCCTCTTCCCTATCTGGTTCCACTTCAGCGAGTCAGTGGGCATCAGGCTCATCTGGGTGGCCGTGATCGGTGACTGGCTCAACCTCGTCTTCAAGTGGTGAGTGGCCCTGCGCCATGGCTGCCTCCGGGTGCGTTGGCACAGCTGGACTAATGCGGGCCAGATGTGCGCTCCCAGCATTGATACTGGTGTAAAACAAAGACCTGAGTTAGGCCCCCAGCTTGGCACTGGTAATGGCTGCTCCTTCCTGAGCCGTGCAGCAACAGCTCTGCCCCCTTCCCAGGAGGGCAGCGAGATCGAGCCCCTCAAACAGACCCTTTGCTCTCAGCCGGGGCTGCAGTTCTGCGCGGGGGCTGCCCAGAGCCCCTCACCACGGGGGCCGTGGGGGTGGCCTGGCACGGCTCTGATATGCGGGATCAGGGCTTGTGCTGCTCCGATCTTTCAGGCGAGTGTTTCCCATGGCTAAGCCAGGACACTGATATCCCCTTCCCTTCCATGGCTGGTAGCGCTGGCATTGCTGATGCAAAGGGAGCCATGGCAGGGAGCCCGCGAGGGACCCAGCCACCGCTCCAGGAACAGGACGGCCTCAGCAGCAGTGTCAGTTTTACCGTGGGGCTGATCCGCCCTGGCATCACGGCCCAGCAGGGTTCGGTGTCAGCCGGTAGCCGTGGGTGCCATCCCCGCAGGTGGTACCAGTGGCCACAGGGGCAGTGGACAAGCGCAGCGCCATCCCCGCAGCTGCATTTCAGCATCACAGGGTTCTGGGGCTGCGTGCACCCACGTGCACGGGCTGCACCCCACGTCCCAGCAGCAGGACCTGCAGTGTGGTCGGGGGGGTGTCCTGGGTGCCCCAGCACCCCCAGGATGCCCGCACTGCCTTCACGTGTGACAGGGACGGGTGGCCTCTGCCTCTGATGCCTGAAAAAGACTTAGCGGGAGCAGACACCGCTCCTCTTTCTCAGGGCGTTGACTTGCTCCCAGGAAATTCTTGCTCTTCCCCTTCGGGGGCCGGGGATGGGGCCCCAGACAGGCAGTGTCGGCTGTCGGGACTAAGCGACCAGCTGGATGCTGTCTGTTGGGACGCCCTGGACTGCTCATGCGTCCTTGGCCTCTTCCAGCTCCCAGGCCAGAGCTGAAACCGCAGCCGTGCCCACCTGCTCTGGTGCCCAGGACCCCTACAGCCCCCGTTTTCCTTTCTTTTCAGGATCCTCTTTGGGGAGAGACCGTACTGGTGGGTCCATGAGACAGACTACTACAGCAACACCTCTGCCCCAGAGATCCAGCAGTTCCCGCTCACCTGCGAGACCGGCCCTGGTAGGGTCCCCCAGCCCCGGCAGGGTCCCCCAGCCCCGGCAGGTGCAGTGGGTGCTCGCCCAGGGGGACCTGCACACACAGCTCCCTGTTCTGGGTCTCGGTTCCTGCAGGGGGCGGGGTGCTGGCATGGCCGGGGCCGTGGCTGGCAGCCCGCCGGGGCACCCCTCCCTAGCTGGCTCTTTAGAGAGGGCCGGTATCACCGAGCCGCGCTCCCCGGGCCCTGCCCGTGCTCAGCCGCAGCCTTGGCCCGTGCTGGGGCCGTGCTCTGCCTGCCAGCCCCAAATGCGGGCAGCCGCTCTGTGGGGAAGGGGCTTGCCTGGTTCCGGAGCAGCTCTGTCTGTGTTTTACCCATGGCTTTCCATGGGAGCCGGGGAAGGGCTGCAGGCGCCCCTGGCGCGCTCAGCATGAGCCGTCGGGGATGGTCGGTGCCCTCTGCCCAGTCTTGCCTGGCAGACAGGCTGTGGAGCCAGAGCCGTGCTCCCACACTGCCCTTGCCGTGCTGGCCCCTGCTCCAGCCTTGCCTGCGCTAGGGACGGAGCTGGGTGCCTGCCGTACAGGTGGCACCGCGGCCACCGGGGGACAGGTGCTGGATGCCGCAGCCCCCGGGGCCTGGGAGCCCCCCGGGCACGAGGGCACAGCCCGCTCTGAAGTGGGGGTCTGACCTGGGGCTCTCTTCTCGCCCAGGGAGCCCCTCCGGCCACGCCATGGGTGCAGCGGGTGTGTACTACGTCATGGTGACAGCCCTCCTCTCCGCTGCCGCAGGGAAGAAGCAGTCGAGGACACTCAAATACTGGTAAGCTGTGCGCCAAAACCAGCCACCCTGGGCAGAGGCTGCTCCAGAGCCGCCGGGTGTGCAGCCGAGCCCATCGAGGCACAAGGCTGTGGGCAGCCAGCCGGGCCGTGGCACCGCAGCGGGGTGCGCATGAGGATGGGCTCAGCGGGCGGCCAGGCACTGCTCAGGGTATGCGGCGGTGGCACCCTGGGCAGTGCGAGCCTGGCCTGGCACTGATGTGACTGCCTACCCCTCGCAGGGTGCTGTGGACGGTGCTTTGGACGGGGTTCTGGGCAGTTCAGGTCTGCGTCTGCCTGTCCCGAGTCTTCATCGCCGCCCACTTCCCCCATCAGGTCATCGCGGGGGTCATCTCAGGTGAGCGCCTCAGACCCCCATCCCCTTTCCCACGGCACTGCTGTGCTGGACCACAGCGACCGCAGCACCCACAGCACTGGCCAGGCAGGGCGCACAGCCTGACGGATGTGTGCGGGGTCGTGACGCAAAGCTGTGTCCGTGGCTCTGCAGTTACTGCCCTCGTCATGGGCAGGATGCCCTCCAGGATGTGCCGTTGTCCCTATCCCATCTGAGGCAGGAGTCCCAGTCGGGTGGGCAGGGCACTGCCGGCTGCTGCTGGGCTGAGGGACGGTGAACATGGCCCAAAGGCACAGGCAGGGCAGGCTTGGGGTGTGAAAGGGTCGTCACTGAGCAAGGGAGCAGAATCGGCCATCTGTGAGCAACAGGGCGCAGCGGTGGCCATCGGGGCACTCAGCACCGCGCGGGAGCACCAGGGTAGCCCCCGGCACATGTCCCCCGCTGGAGTGCCCAGGGCTGTGGGGTCCGCTCAGCTCCACCGCCCCGAGGCCGGCGACCACTCGCTAATCGGTGCTGCCTCCTCTCCCGCTTCATTGCTGGCAGGGATGGCCGTGGCCAAGACCTTCCAGCATGTCCACTGCATCTACCACGCCAGCCTCCGCCAGTACCTGGGCGTCACCTTCTTCCTCTTCAGCTTCGCCCTGGGCTTCTACCTGCTGCTGCGGGTGCTCGGCGTGGACCTGCTCTGGACACTGGAGAGGGCGCAGAGGTGGTGCGCCCGCCCCGAGTGGGTCCACATCGACACCACCCCCTTCGCCAGCCTCCTCCGTAACCTGGGCATCCTCTTCGGGCTGGGGCTGGCCCACAACTCCCACATGTACCTGGAGAGCTGCCGGGGGAAGCAGGGCCAGCAGCTGCCCTTCCGCCTGGGCTGCATTGCTGCCTCCCTCCTCGTCCTACATCTCTTCGATGCCTTCAAGCCGCCCTCCCACATGCAGTTGCTCTTCTACATCCTCTCCTTCTGCAAGAGCGCAGCCGTGCCGCTGGCCACCGTCGGCCTCATCCCCTACTGCGTCTCCCAGCTCCTGGCCACGCAGGACAAGAAGGCTGTCTAGGGGCGTCCCCGCAGGTAATGGCGCGGCCGCCCTGGCTCTGGGCTCGGGGGCAGTCACCGGACCATGGGGGCACCCCAGCCACTGTTTGCTCCCGCTAAATCTGCACAGACTGACTCCACACTGGGAGCGGACTGCGAAGGCTGGGCCGGCGGCGCTGCTGGATGGCTCCCACTGCATGGACCCACAATGCTGGTCGTGCCGTAGGCTCGAGCGGTCTGTGGCCAGCTGATGGCACAGCGAGCCCCGCGCTCCCAGGGCTCTCCTGCTGCCCTTCCCCCACCCGTGGGTGGGGGGTCATCAGCCCGGGACCCGGCGGCAGCGGGGGGAAGACCCTGTGCTCCCCTGCAGCTCATGGGGATGCTCCACCGCCGTGCTGCAGGGCTGGTGACGGCACCACCGGGAGCAGGGTGCTCACCCATGGGTGCTCGGGGCCTGCTGGCGAGGCAGCTCTGTTACAGGAACGGGCAGACACTGTGATTTGGAGATAAAGCACCGGCGTGCGGGAGCCCCCCAGCCCTGCAGTGATCAGGGTGCACTGCTCTGTGGAGCAGCATGGGGTACACGTATGCATATGTGTGTATACATATCCAGTGTGTATCTATATACACATATACATACGGGCGTGTCTGTAAACAAGAGGTATTTTATTAAAGCTGAAGGTGTGTTAGCTGGTGAGTTCGGACCTCTCCCTGGCCAGCAAGGTGGGATGGGCGATCGGCTCCCGGGCGTGGGGCTGCTGGTGGTGGTGGAAGAAGGACGTCTCTCCTGGCGCTGCTCCTGCCATCACCGGCAAGGCACGGCCAAACCCCCAGGAAAGGCAGCGCCAGGCTCCTCCGGTCCTCGTCGCCCTTCACCCTGGGGTGCAGTTGGGCGCAGCCAGCACAGCGGGGGGGCGAGCTGCTTTTTGTGCTGTTTATCCAGGGTTTCTGGGTGCACCTTGTGCCGGGAACGGGGACACGCTCGGGTCACCTCGCCGCTTATGGAAACAGGCACGGCTTTGGGACCGTCCGGCTCTGCCGGGGCTGTGCTGGGCCCCAGGCTGCAGGGACAGAGCTGCCGTTGGGCTGCTGGCTGTGTTGCGGGGCAGGGGCCCGGTGGTCAGCACTGGCTCAGCCTCCAGGCACTGCTCCCCCAATGCCGGGTCTGCGCAGGGCGCAGGGAGCGGCTGCGTCAATGAGGGGCCCAGCCGCTTCGCTGCCGCTGGCTCCGGGCCCCCGGCCGACCTCCTCCTGCCGCAGCGCCGCGCTCCTTGGCAGGAAGCCGGCTGCGGGCTCGCCCTGCTGACTTCAAAGCCGTACGGGCTGTACAACCTGGCAATTAACTCCGTTAGTAAACATCCTCTCTCAGTCTGAGATAGTTTAAAATAGATGCGAAGGCACAGGTACTTTCCTCCTGCCAGACTGTACGTGTGCATGTGCAGCATCTCCCCCAGACACCAGTTCCCGCAGCGTTCACCCCATGCCCAGCTAGAAGCATCGGCAGCGCTCTCTGCTGCGGCGCACCCGGGAAATGCCACCTCCCACTGCCGTTGGGCAACGGTGTCCAGCAGAGCCGCGCTAACGCCTGTTGTCTTGCTGCGGCTTGGATGGGCCTTTGCCGCGCATGGCGGTGGAGCGTGCAGGCTTTGCAGCCTTTCCCAGCCCCGCGATCGGAGCCCCCCACCGCAACACCGAGAGCCATCAAACGAGAGCGCGCCTTCCCTCTGACCAAACCGCGCGTCAGCAGATCCCCACGCCAAAACCCAGCCGCACTAAAATGCCTCCCACAGCAAAGTCTGCAGTAGCTCTCGCTCGGCACGGAGCTCAGCTGTGGCCCTAGCTCTCTGCAGAAAACCTGCCTCGATCAGCGCACCCCCCGTTTCCTCCAGCTGGGGAGCGGGCAGGCTTGGCCCAGCTGCTATCCCGACCGGGAAGGGTCGGGACGGGGCAGCCAGACCCCCGGGCGCGGTGGGCAGACGCTGATGGGCAGCGCAGCCGTGACCCCGTGCCTGCTGCTGCCGCTGGGCCGCTGGCGAAGGTCTCTGGGCTGAACGGCATCCGCATCGGCCGTGTGCGGAAACCCTGGTTGCTGGGGCTGCTGCCACCCTCTGTGTTCATGATAAAGCTTCTTTTCTTCTATTCCTCTGCTTATGACCAACCTCTGGCCCAAACTTGTCGTGCCATTTCTAGCAAGAAGGGAAAAAAAAAAATTCCCAAGTTACCTGTTGTGCTTTTTCACACTGTGGCTCCACAGCGCCCTTTAGTTTCTGCAGCTGAGATGGCAACAGCTCCGGGACCCACCCTGGCAGAAAAGGCAAGTTGAGGAAATGCCGGCGAGCAGCGATGCCTGATCCCGAGGGAGTTTGCACCTGGATTAGCCGGAGCAGCTCCCGACGTTCACAGATGGACCGGTGCCAGCTGCACCCGGCACGGGAAAGGACGCTGCAGGAAGGTGGGCGATATTCTGCCCACGGGGCACCGTGCTCCCGCCCGGCTGCTCCCTGCCCCGGCCGACGCAGGGCCGTATCCTCTGCGGCGCTCGCTCCCGCCTGCGGACAGCTCGCCGCCACCCAGGCCGAGGCGTGGGGTGGGAAACAGCCTCCTCTCGCCGAGCGTTAACGACGATGCCCCCCCGGACACGGGCTGGGTCGCCGGGGGCTCCCGCGATCGGGTGCCGTCGTGATGGGAGCTGGAGAGGAGGGTGGGAACGGACACGGCTGCAGAGGCCAGGAGATGAGAGCGGGGCCGATCGTGGCCTTGCTCTTCCCTTTGGGGGCCGCCCCGCTGGAGGGCGGCTCAGGGCTGGGTTCCTCCACCGGCTACCCCACAGCAACGGCCAGGGGCAGGAGGGCTGCGGCGGACCCCGAAGACGCCTTCCCAGCAGCGGTGAAGACAAGGCCCTACCGGCACGGCCTGGTGCCGATGCCCCCACGCGCAGAAAGCTGCGGTCTCGGCTTGGGGGAGCAGAGGAACGGCGGCTGTTCCGAAGGAGGTGCTCAGGAGCTGCAGGCCTGAGCTCGGAGCACAGCACGCGGCCTGAGCCAGCCGTACGCCAAGGCCCAGCCCGTCACCGACAGCCGTAACGGCACAAGCTAGCCGGGCTCGTCCACCGCAATGCTCGGGCCACGCTACTGCTTTTCTGCAGAGCTATTTCTTATCACGTAAAAGAGCCGAACGCAAGACACTGTTGCAGAAGCAGGGGAAAGGCCACTGCTGGGGAGAAGAGAATGGCAACGAAAGCTCAAGCTCAGGGCAACAGAAGTGAAGGAAATGTTCAGGCTTGACAACAGCATCTTGTTTTCTTGCCTCCCACTTCTATCTCAGGCAGCTGTAACTGGTGACCAGCTTAGTTTGGTCTTTTAAGGGGGATTTACTGGTCTGAGCATCCCTCCGGCTCCGGCTACATTTCATTCCTTCTTCTCCCTACAAAATTTCAGCAGCAAAAGCTTGATTCAGTTTCTCTGCACTTGTTGGCAAATATCATACGCAAACCCTCTGCTGCTTACCAGTATTCAGACTTTTTAAATGCATCCAGCGTATTAGAAACAAATACGGTCGCAAAGCAATTACTCCTCAGCAGCCGGTGCAAAGTAAAAAGCCACAATGCACTGCGACCAGGAGGGCCCCTCTTGGTTTCAGGGAGCCTGCAAAACGGCTAAATAACGACGACTCCTAATCCCTTCAGAACGCGTACCATTTGTCCGGGGAAATGAAAGAACCCTTGCAGCACAGCGCGGATGGCAGACCCCCTCCCCGTTTTCCCCGAGCACCGAATGAGCTCACGCAGAGCCTGTGTGCACCAGCTGGTGTTTTTACGTCTTTATTCTCTGGGAGAGAAATTGGTGGAGCTTACGCAAAGCAGGGAAGACAGCCCTACTTGGAGAATTGGTTTTTATGCTTCAGGGCTTCGATGGCTGATGAATTCCTGGAGCAGAGCTTGCACTTCTCCTCGCCGACTCATCTTGGTTGCCTTGCCCTGAAAGCGGCCGCGCTTCCCAGCTCCTTTGCCTCCCAGCAGCTCTGCCACCCTGCAGTGACAACAGCGCAGGCTGAAGGCCACTCACCCGCGGAGAGGAGAGTGGCCCGGTCCATCCTGCTCCGGAGAGCAAACCGGCATCCACGCCCTCATTATACCGCTCAGCTGCTCGGTCTGCAGCGTTAGAATTCTTACTGATTTTGAAGAAACCATAGAACGTGTTACCTGGGACCTAAATTCTCAACTGCTTCCCCAGGTCCAGCTAGAAGAAAGAGTCCTGCTTCTTTTTCATCTCCCACAGTCAGGAACAGCAGGGTTTCCTGGGGACAGAGAGATGGATCTTGCTCCAGAGTAACCAGTGCCCTCCTTGCCCGGGAAGAGGACACAGACACTGGCAACAGGACCCATCCAAGCGTGCAAACAGTTCCGAAGTTTGTGGGCGTTACTGAGACAGAGACTCCATTTAAAGAAAGTAAAAGGGAGGGGAGCTTTGGGACCTTTTAGCTCAATCATATGGTGTGGGGGACAGAACGGGTACTGGGGTATCCTAAGTGAAAAGGATACGGTGGGCAGCTGGACTAGATGATCGTTGTAAGTCCCTTCCAACTGAAATAGTCTGCCCTGCCCTGCCCTGCCCTGCCCTGTCCTAAGCCAGCCAGCGAGGGCCTACAGCTCTCTGAGGGACGGGCTCTTCTACAGGGCTCTGAGTGTTCACTGTGGTATTTCTTGGCTCCTGGGGACTCCCTGCAGACTGAGGCTGCTGGGGACAGCACCCTCATGTAACTTTTGAAAGGAAACAGACCCGTAGGCACAAGCTGCGAGTACGAACAGCAGCCTGGCCCTGCCTGCGCTGCAGCTGGAAGACAAAGCCAGTGCTGTCGGGTTAGTCTTCAGCAGTGACTCACCTCTGTCCCAATCTCATTAGCGATGATATTCATAAATTCAGAGTCACCTTCTTTCCTGTATGGATGGGTAAAAAAACACTTCAGAAAGAAGCAAAAATACCCTCTACAGTCCAAAATCTCAACCAGAAACCGAAGGCCTGATCAGGCCTGGGGGTCTGGCCTCTTGCTGTTAGGATGGAAATTAGTTTTTTTCTATGTATCTGAATCCTCATTGTGCATTCCTGTGGACATATTAGGAATTATTTAAGCGTTTATCTTTAAGAAACAGAGCTTCTCAGTTTTATTTGAAAATATCAAGGGCAGAGAGAAATCAGATAGACACAGTTACGGCTTAGCTATACAACCAGAAGAATTCAGCGACTGAGTTACCCACAACCTTCCAGCAGGCTGAGGCAGTTTAATATTCTATTCACCTTGTTTATAGTCTTCCTCGAGAAACAAGCCTGAAGAGGTGTCAGAGAGATGCAACTGCCACAAAACGCCTAAGAGAGCATTTTGCCCTTTTCCCTGAACTCCCCCATACCTGTGTAACACAAACAGCTGACTTGGAACAGGTTTGCTCTTGAAGTCCCGGGCTATCAAAACAGCCATGTCTCTAAGCAGGTTCAAGTTATTCTGAAAGAAAAGCAAATGAACTGTGCTGCAGATGGAGAAGTCAGCGTGAACACCGAGTTGTGTTCCCGGAGATGGGAGCAGTCTTCATAACATCCACAAAACCTGATGCCTACGATTCAGTTCCCAGTTATCACGACAAAAGCTCAGGTCTACGGGAAGCAGCCACCATCTGCTTTCCTCAGCCACCCTCCTACCTTCTGAAGCAGTTTCACAGAACTCTGCAGTCTCTTCACAGCCTCTACGTGCTCACCTGGCCCATTTCTGAAAGAACAAGGAGAATTTGGATCGCCACTCTGAAGGACAAAGAAAGGATTTCTTAAAGGAGCACAAGCAGATACCATCACAGAGGGCGCCGCGTGGAGGTGCCCTGAGGCTTACGGGGTATTTATTTGTCAGAAGGAACAGTACAGGTGAAATAAACAAAGTGGAAAGGGTATTACTTGAGCAGTGAGGTTAGAGCCTTCTCAGTACTGTGACTTTGTTCGATTGACTTCAGCACTCTGTTTCCTGCCAGGAAAACCAAGTTGGTTTTGTTCTTTTTCCCTTTTTCTGTGCCAAGGAGTTTAATAACCTTAAAAAGAAAATCACCCCGGTCAGAACAGAACAGTACTTTGCTTATACTCGCGCAGGCGGTCAGTTCCTACCAGACTATGCCTTGTTGTGGGTGTTGGCTCTCTGCCAGTGAAAATAAACGATCAAAGGCAGCCGTAAGGTCAACATACAAAAAAAGAAAAAGGATGGTGATACAGTGGAATTAACACAATTTGCTAGTCACGGGCTGCACTCTGCAGCGCATCTGGATGTCTCTGCTGGGATACGGACCCAACAAATGACTGAAAAGACAGAAACGCTTAAAGGCAGCTCTAGAATTTTATCTCCACCTCCCTGCGCAGAGGTTTTCTCATTCATGACAAACGCCCAAAAACATCGGAGCTTTAAGCAGAGGAAACAAACGGCTAGCAGCCCAGCAACGCACCGCCAAACCGGCCATACACCACGCGCCCCCGCAGAGGCACCGCAGTTCAGAAAATACCACTGCTACAGACAAGGGCCGAGCGCTGTTACAAAGGCAGGAGCCGGACCGACCGGACAGGCTGCCGGCCTGCGTGCGGCCCCTGGGCTCAGCCAGCACGGGGCTTCCCCCGCCCCCTTTACCATCGGGACGACTTCCAGCAGACCCCGGCTCTCAGGGACTTCTGTGCCAGGTCTGAACGCGCGGAGCGAGGCTCCCGAAGGCAGCTCAGCTGCCGCCCCCACCTGCAGGTCACTCAGGTTGGAGACGTGAGTCCCACAGCACATGTTGGAGTCTATGCCTTCGATGTCAACGACTCGCACTGGCCCCGCGTGGTCATCTGGCAATCCACGGCTCCTCACCTAGCAAGAGGAGGACAGTGGCAAACGAGGCGACATCCACACCGCAGTTATTTTGGTCCCACGGATATCATCGTTTCTCTCCCCACCACTCACAGTTTCGATTTCGGGGTCATCTGCGGCCAGTTCCCTCACCACCACGGGCACCCTCTCCCGGATTTTCTCATTCACACTCCTCTCCAGGGCCTCTGTTTGCTCTGCTGTCAGGGAGGGGGTGTCCAGCTCAATGACGCTTCGCTGACGGCCCAGCTCCCTGCACCGATGAAGAACATCTGCTGCTGTAGCGAAGACCAGCTGGAAGGTCCCTCTGCGCAGCACCAAGCGTCACCCCACTGCTGGGAACGCGGTGAAAGGAAACACGCTCCCCTCCCTGACTTTACAGAGCACCAGGCGCACACCGAACACTTGGAGGGGGAGAAGACAGAGCAAATGCTTTGCACAGCTTCTCTGCAGTTCAGTCACCTCTCCCAGGCCCCCTGAGCTCGAGTGAAACGTTCAAGGGCAAACTGCTTTTGATTTATTGATGTTCAGCTCCCTGCGGCCCAGCACAGTGGCACGCGCCAAACAAAGTAAGACTGGGGACAAAAGGAGCCTTTTCCCTGCTCACCATGAAGTTGTCTTGAATCCAAACATCTGCTCTGCGATGGCAGTGATGAGATGCTGTCCTGGAAGAGACGTGCAAGCAACAGCTTTGAGTGCCACCGGACACAGGAAAAGAGATTTCCAGCCAGACTGTACTTTTTTTTGCTGCTGTTCCCTGTGACATTTGCAAACGCCCGGGCACACGCTCGGCGCGGTGGGGCCTAGGCTACGGCTTAGGGGCAGCAGGAGAGCCGGCCGCCGCCTGGTGGGCCCTGGGGCCCTGAGAGCAGCCTGGCGCACGCTGCAGGCTTCGAAGCAGGTTGAGCTTCTCCTTCCACAGCTGCTGGCAGTGGGTTTGCCAGCAGGCCAGGGAGAGCCTGCAGCGGAGGCGCCTGCCGTCCCGAGCGGCCCCGGGGACGGACTGGGGACGACCGTGGGCGCAGAGCTGTGGGGCTTCCCCCTCGCCTGAGCGGGTGGGGACAGGCTGGGCGCTCGCCCCAGCCCAGGGCCCGGGGGAAGGCAGACGGGGCCGCCCCTGCGGCGCGGCGTTACCGGCGCCCCTCGGCCGGGCCGGGGCGCGGACCTGAGTGCTGCTGCATGTGGTCGAAGCGGCGCTCCCAGTCCAGCGACAGCAGCACCTCGGTGCCCGGCTCCAGCGACGCCTGCACGAAGTGGACGGCCTCGGGGCCCCGCCGGGTGACGCGCAGCACCGGGACATCGCCGATGAGGCCGCGGTCGTCCGGCTGCGGAGACGG